CAAAAACCCTCAGGAGTTCCCTATGACTAACTCATAGAGGAGGAAAGTACTTGCACTGGTATAAAAATGGGTCAGCCTGACATGTTGGGTGGACTTTAATGTGAACAATGAAGGACATTTTCCCAGTGGGAAGATCAGCAAACAGTGTACTTGTCATTCCCTTCATTTAGAGAGGGAGGTGACCTGAAGGACAGATGTATATTGAGCTTTGGCAGAGTTAATAACCTGATGGGCCTGGAAGAAATAAGACTAGAAAATCAGATACAAGGAGTATAAGCAAGAGGCATATGGATGGGCCTGTAGGAATGAGCACAGTCAAAATCATGCCTATCAAACAATCAGCACTGCAGAGGAAGCTCTCTACTACCAGGTGGATGTCATCACCTGTCCGGTGGATATGAGCCCGCCTCCTTTCTCAGTTACTCCAGAGTTCGTGCAATAGACCCATAAAGATAATGATCTATTGTGGCTGGATTTAGACCTTGGTGATAGAGACAGGGACTATGCATGGTCCCAGGACATGCTCTCCCTTTCCAAAGCTAATACAGCTATTGTCACTTCTAACTATTAAATGCCAGAAACAGACTGACAATGAGCCACTGAGATGATACGATTCCTCCAGGGTGTCATAGTGACCCAGCACCTGTGGGGTGGCAGGCAAATTAAGCTGGATCCTCTCCACCTTGGAGCGGGCAGCAATTTGTCCTAAGTGGGTGAATAATGGTCTGTATGTGTGTTTGCCTTTCCTCTCATAGTGCCTTCACTGGCACCTGCATCTAATAGCCTAAGACTTCTTAATCCAGTGATATAATGCCCCACATAATATTGCTTCTACTAAGGGACATTTGCTGCTGTATCAAAGAAGACACAACAGTGAACTTATGGTCACAGTATGTTTTATCACCCAACAGCCACAGCCTGATGGAACAGTGGAATAATATTAATTCTGAAAAGCTCAGCCAAGGCACCAGCATGAGGAAGCACCTTAGAATTGGGGTACTGCCCTCTAAGATTGGGAAATACACCAAACCAATTGCTGATATAGAATGCTGTATTTATCATACCTGGGGCTCACAGTTCTGGGACTAAAGGTAGACCCTTCCTGTGATCAATAGCAGTGACCCACTGATAGTATTTATACTACCTTTTCCTAAAACCTTATTCTTGGCCAGTTAGAATCCTAGTTCTCGTGGTGGAGGCAGGGGAGCAGTGCTGTTCTTTCAGTGGAAGCTGTGATTGGTTCTACATGTGATCTGGTTACTATGTGTTCCTCATGACAATAGACCAACACAGACGGTATGAGATTACCATGCTCACCACCATGAGGAGATAGGGCTATTGCCACAAAATCTGAACAAGAAAAAATATGTCTGGAACTTGAAAGTACTCCATGCCCTGATGGGAAGGAGAAATTGGGAAAGACTCCAAAGGAGAAGGAAGACAAAGGGCTTAATTCACCAGGATTTAGGTCTGCAACACCCTACTCAACATCAACTCAGAGCTGAAATGCTGAAATCCTGAAATGCTGGGAGAGTATGAGGGAAAGTCTGGGATTAGTGGTAAAGGAGATAGGTGATGAATATCAATCAAGACCTTAAGGACTAGTTGGGGCATTGGATATTGCGGCTGGATTTACTCCCACTCCTTTAAGTCTCCGGGGAATTGCAGCTTGCCATTACTCCAAAGGATTATACTTAAATTCTTCTCTTGGGAAAGATATGACGGGCCTTGTATTGATGCTATTGGGATAGCAGCAGATGGTGCAAGTACATCTGAGCTGTACGTGGGGTTGTCTGTTCTGGGCCATTTGTCTGCCTTTCTACATTGGCTCAATCCTAACATCTCTTCACGTTTTGGACCACTTGCTCAATGGTGAGCCCCAGATAACTGTCGCCTTATCTCTTAACATCATTAGCTATATCAGCCTTTCTCAAGGTGAAGACCAGGTGTCAGCATGTCCCCAGTAGCAACCACCTTGGAAGGATTCACAGTAGTTGTGGCAACTGTCATATAGGGACACACCCAGGAAAGTTATGTCTCCATTAGAGACAGTGGCTACCCAAAGGGACATATTATAAAATCATAAAGGCAGAGGACTTAGTGACCTGTACAATGAATCTTTATCAGTGAAATACAGAGTATGACAAGCAACTGACATATAAATGTCCCTCTCTCTGACTGTTAAAAAACTGTTTCAAGGTGTAAAGGTTCTAAATGACTTCTTCAGATTTGTTTCACATGACCAAATAACCCGCCATGTTTTCTTGTGAAGTTCTGCCTAGCTCAGTCATGTACCACCTTGTGGCTACTTTCTTCTCTTTCCTGTATCACTTCTTCTTTTAACCCTGTTGTGGTTGACCTAGCATTGCTTGATGTCAGACTGTATTTCCTGGAGAATTTGGATTGAGATGCCAAGCAAAGTTTTTAATCTAGGAAGTTTTTGAACACTGAGTGACAAATTAAAATGTGATTATGAATAACTAGCCCTAGCCTTCCAGATTGGAAAGTGTACCAATTTTCATGTACCAAGTTATCTTCTATCTTTATCTATTTTAATGTACAAATATACTTCTCTATTTTAAGGAAATTAATGTGCCCATTAATTTCTTTCTTTTTCAAAAAAATGCAGTGACTGTCTTACTCTGCCCTATTTTATTTTGCAATGTTTTCATTACTCTGTCTGGTTTATTACACTTTTATCGTATAATTCTCCTACATTAGAACTCTTCTCAATGCAGAGAGACATATGCTAGTTGCTTGTCCTTTTCTGAATGTGTACCGTTTTTACTGTCACCTCCTAGAACAAACAGGTTCATCAGTATGCTTCTCTATATAAATCGTGGCATAATGGAAGAGTGCAATTAATTTTTAACAAAAGTTATGGAGTCCTCACAGCTTGTATCAAAACACTCCTCACGTAATTCTAAACTTTTCTGAGAATATTTTGCCAAACTTATCTTAGGCAGGGAAATGTACACCACCCCCAGCATCCCAGAATGTAGTCAGGGTCTTCACTACCACTCTTTTACCTTCCTTGTCATCCCTTCTTTAATTATGCTTTCTGGTGATGATTTAGAGATAGTACAAATTGTAGTCCTATGGTGCATCTGTTAGTATTAAATAAGAATGATTAGCTCATGTTTTTATTATAGCTGTCTATTGAAAGCAAAACTGAAACTTTACATAGAAACTTGATACATTATACTTGCCGTCTATCTCAGATTCAGCCTAGTTGCTCAGATTCTCCTAGACTTGAATATATCAACCTTTTGGAATTACTTGTTTGATTTAGTGGTTGTGGCTTTTGCCTGAGCTTGTACATCCTGCCATTTGAGAGCAAACAGAGGATTCAACTCCCTCCTCAATCTTCAGCCTTCTCTTTGTGTCCCCTTTCGTCATGAATTATTTTTTACTCTATTGTCTATTGATTAATTACTTTTTCTCCAATGAATTGCATCATGAATACTAATCTTTGGAAAAGTTGAGAGTGAGATGAATGTTCACAAATTATAAAGACCTCAGATGAAAATTGCAGCAATTCGACATTGCAATCCCATTGGAACAAAACAAAGACAGTTACAACCATTTGAAAGCAAGTCACATTTTTGTACACCATCCATTATTCCTGCATTTAACAGAATGTTAAAGACTCTACATCTTGTGAATTTATTAGCTTGGTATTTAGCATGTTTCATGGCCAAAATAGCAAAGAAGCTTCATTATTACTGGTTAAATTAGCCTCATGAAAATGTTGTTGGTAAAAGGTTACAGAAATGAATAAGAGATCTAACCAAGAAGCATATTGGACAATTTATCACTATAATTTTAAAAAGGCATTCTGATGATTTAAATTAACTTGGCTAAAGGGTAGAGATTTAGATAAAAGTTAATAATTAAAGCCAAAATGACATGCTTAGTTAGCTCTTCTTTTTAATAACAATGCATACTCATCAAGTAGTTTTGTATATTGTCCTTTTGGCAGAAACTGAAGCTAAAAAAACCATACCTGACAACACCTTTTATTTATTTATTTATTTATTTTTGATTTGATTTATTTCACTCTGTCACCCAGGCTGAAGTGCAGTGGCTGCAGTGGCACTATCTCAGTTCACTGCAACCTTCACTTCCTGAGTTCAGGCGATTCTCCTGCCTCAGTCTCTCGAGTATTTGGGACTACAGGTGTGTGCCACCACACCTGGCTAATTTTTGTATTTTTAGTAGAGAGGGAGTTTCACCATGTTGGCCACACTGCTCTCGAACTCCTGACCCTGGGTGATCCTCCCATCTTGGCCTCCCAAAGTGCTGGAATTACAGACGTGAGCTACCATGACTGGCCAGGCTTTTGTTTGTTTTAAAGAAATATTTGTAACTATGTTATATATAAGCTGAATTCCCTAAGTATCTCATGTTTGCTTCCAATATGGTCAGATAGCCCTTCCCACATTCTTTGATTTTGTACAGTTGAAACTTAAAAACTTAGCTATCTTTATGTAAAGGTTTTACTATTTGCTTTTATTATTATTTATTATTATTTGAGATGGACTCTTGCATGTTGCCCAGGCTGGAGTGCAGCAGTACGATCTTGGCTCACTGCAACCTCTGGTTCCTGGGTCCCAGTGATTCTCCTGCCTCAGTCTCCCAAGTAGCTGGGATTACAGGCACCTGCCACCATGCCCAGCTGTCTATTTGCTTTTTAACTAAATGTCTTCTCTATGTATGTAAGAATAGGGAGTCTGCCATCTTTGTGAAAATTTTATCAGGGAATTTAACATTTCTTTTTTGCCCTTTGACTTAATGTTTTTATTTGTGTGGTCTAAACTATTCATTTTTTGTTTGTGCTAAAAAATAAAAAAAAAAAATATTTGAGCTAATAAGCTCACAGAACTTTCCTGGGAATGATGATGAAATAATTTTTTATTATCACGACAACTGTGACTAAGGGTGTGTGTCTGTGGATTTAAGATAAAAATAAAGTTTCTCCTCTTTTTCACTCTTAACAGAAACCAGGAGATAAAAGAACTTGGCGAGCTTTCTCCACATTGGGACAATCTGAGAAAAAACGTCCTTACTCACTGTGATCAAATGGTGAATATGTACCAAGACATTCTTACAGAACTTAGCAAGGAAACAGGTGTGAAGCAATAACTCTACTTACTCAAAGTGAATTGAATTTTCTGCATGTGAAATGAAAAAAAAATTAAACACATTTTATGGAGATAGGAGAACTGGAGAATTTTTAAAACTCTTTTATTTCTAACTTTATCTTCTTAAAACAAAGAAAACACTACCTTATTTTACCTTACAGTATTGTAATATGAATAATTGAGAGAATTTTTTAAAATATTGAATTTCTGAGAGGAAAAGCAAGTTATAAATATAGGATATGTTTTTCTTTTTGAAGTTCTTGTAACATTTTTCTGTCAGGTTTATCTTGTACCACACATATTAATTTATCATTATTTACTAATAATGTTTAATTTCTGATTTCCATCTAGGTTCCTCTTTCAAATCAAGCAGCAGCAAAGGAGAGAAAACATTAGAATTCGTTCCGGTAAATCTACATCTGCAAAGAATGCAGGTACACAGCCCTCACTTGAAAGGTATCATCATAAATTATTCTTTTAAAAATGGCAAATGATGTTACAGTGTGTACTTCTTTAAACAGCTTGAGTATTGGCGGAATTCAATAGTTTAACAATTATATAAAGTTGAAAATGAAACAATTGAACCTCATAATGACCCTAAATGTTGCTAAAGAGACTATGATATTCTTGTTGCTGTATTTTTGGTAAATACTTTGTGAATGTAGCACTTGGACTGAGGTAGAGATAAATATGCAAAATGGACAGTAGCACAGGTAAGTAGTATTAACAGTGGCTAATAGTTAACATTGGTGCTCATTTAAATTAGAAAAAGAAAAAGAAAAAACAAAATTTGTTTATATTTTTCCTGTCTTGAGAAATCAAAGCCCAAACATAGACTAATATGCTAGTTTTTAAATTTACTTACTGGTAACTATCAACAGAAACTCCCTTTGCTATGAGAAACGAAGTGAGGATAGTAAGGTAGAAGGTGGTAGTGTATTCACGTGTACTCAGTTGTAAGAAATACTTGTCAAAGAGAAATATATAGGTTTCTCTGAACATACTTGAAAATGGTCCAGAGTGACCAATATGATGTCATATTTATTACCATTCTACATAATCCCTTGCCATTTATCAAAAATATGTTTTTCAATGTATTTTCACCTCCCCTTTTCATTAACTTATTGCTATAGCAGTTATGCAAATTTAGGATGACTGTATGCTCGTTTGCTGGCAAAAATCTGAGATTATGGCCCCGTCCCTGCATATGCCTATGCCCAGTGTTAATGGCACCCTTGCTTCTTTTCCTTCTTAAACGCCTTCCTTTTTAAATGACAAATGCTGTCGTCCTCTTACTAGTACCCATCTTTTAGGGGGCTTTCGGGGAAGTACCTGAAAATGTATACAAACATACATACAGAGACATCTAAATTCTCATTCCGACACTGTTTTGTAGCCCTTGTCACAACATAGGAGTTAACAGGTTTAGACAGGTTAAAACACAAGAGTCATTGTATACCATTAGTGAAAGTGTAAACTGGTGTAGCTACTACCGTAAAAACAAATATGGAAGTTCCTAAAAAATCTAAAACTAAAGCTACCATATGGCCCAGAATTCACACATCCAGGTATTTATCCAAAATAATTGAAATCAGTATCTCAAAGAGATGTTTGCACTCCCACATTCATTGCAGCATTGTTCACAGTAGCCAAGACAGAGAAATGTCCACTGATAGGTGAAAAGATAAATTGTGATATGTACAAAGAGTAGAATGTTGTTCAGTCTTATAAGGAAGGACATTCTGCCATTTGAGAAAACATGGATGAACCTGAAGGATATTATGCTAAATTAAATAAGCCAGGACACAGAGGGACAAATACCACATGATACTACTTTTAATGAGGAATCTAAAATAGTCAACTGCATAGAAGCTTAGAGTCTAATGGTGGTTTCCAGGGGCTTTGGGGAGGATGGAAAAAGGAGGTATTAATCAAAAGGTACAAAGCTGCAGTTATGCAAGATGAGTAAGTCCTAGAGATCTACTATACAATACAGTGTCTGTAGTTCACAGTATTATATTGTATGCTTAAAAAATTGCTGAGAGAGTGGATCTTATGTTAAGTGTTCTTATTATACACATACACATTAATAATAATAGTAATAATAAAGAGGGTACAGAAACTTTCGGAGATGATGGATAGGCTTATGGCATAAGTCGTGGCAATGGTTTAAAGAGTATATATTTATGTCAAAAGTTATCAAGTTGCATACATATATAGCTTTTTATATGTCAGTCATACCTCAATCATGTAGTTTTAAAAACTGAAAGTGAAATCTCAGTTCTGCCTTAGAATTGTCAGAAATTTTATAATTTGAAAAATTAAACTTTATTGTTTTTTCATTTTTGCATACCAATCCTGTATATACCACCAGCTGATTTGAAAGCTTAAATGTGATTATAATGATTCTGATGCATAATGTTTTTATACTTGGTGATGAAGTATATGAAATTTTAATTTAGGTCTTATTCATCACAAATTATGTCAAGTGAAAGAACAGAAAAACAAAAAGAGAGAGATGGATTGGCCCAAGGCATTTAAAAACTGCTGTGGTCTGAGTGTGTCCCCCAAAATTCATGTGTTAGAAACTTAATCCCCAATGCAACAGTATTGGGAGGTGAGACCTAAGGGAAGTTATTTGGATCAAGAGAACTCTACACTTATGAGTGAACTAATGCCATGGTAAAAAGATCTTTCAGGAGCAAGTTCACCCTCTTTAGCTCTTCTGCTATGTAAAGTCAAAAAGTTTGTTCTCTCTTGCTTTTCCACCTTCCGCCATGTAAAATCACAGCAGAAGGCCATCATCAGATACCAGTACCTTGATCTTAGACTTCCTAGCCTTCAGAACTGTTAGAGAATAATTTATATTTTTATAAAAGTTACCCAGTCCATAACATTATGTTATAGCAGCACCAAATGGAGTAAGATAGTAATTCTTTTCTGATTACTCAGTGTCTCTTAATAGTTTGAATAGAATAATATGTAATGACGTTTAAAATAATAAAGTGTTAAGTATTGAAGAAGCTAAAACACCTAAGAAGTATCTGACAATCAACGTAATATTTTTCTAATAGCCAAAATAAAAAGCCTCTTATGTAGTAAAATGTTTATATTATTTGAGAGTATAACAGCCCTGGGCTTGAATTGTAGCACTACCACTTCTACATGAGCTGAGTCTGGTATTTAATCTTTCTAAGCAATTTCATTCTCATTCCTGATTGAGGTAGAGTATTTACAACACATAGAATGATAAAAATAATAGTAGTTTTATTATACATGTGGTTTTTTCCATCACTGGAACAAGTGTATCTGTCTGTTGTATCAGAGCTGATGAAACTGGAGAAAATTGATCAGGTAAGAGCCTATTAAAAATCAATGAAGTCTTGAACTAAGAAAATAGCCAGATTTAGAGTAAAGATGATTTAGAGATACATTTTGAAGAAATCATCACATGCAAATACTTAATGACTGATGCAATAAGGCAATAAGGGAGAAGGATAATTTGTTTTACAGCCATGGTTAGATGACAGTGTCATCAAAATAGATAGATTTGTTTGGGGCCAAATACATATAAATTCATATTTAATTATGCATTCAAATGTTTGTTAATTAACCTTAAAATACTTCCACCAAACAAAGGAAAATTATGATCAAAGTGGCCTTTTGTTTCATACTTCTTTCTTGAAAATGAAAGAATCATGTACTATGCTGTTTTCCAGCAAACCATCTGAAAAAGAGAGTAAAATAGGGTGAAGACAATATGTTTAGTTTCTGATTCTCTGATTTGAAAGAAAGAATCTGGCAACTAAAATAAAGAAATTTAGAAAAGCAAAGAAAAGTGTGTGAGAGTGTGTGTGTGTGTGTGTGTGTGTGTGTGTGTATGCATGCAGGCACTTTCTAGCTTGTTTGGTTTGGGATATGTATTAGTTTTCTAGGGCTGCCATAACAGAGCACCACAAACTGGGTTGCTAAAATAGCCAAACTTTTTCACAATTCTGGGGAATGGAAGTCTGAAATCAAAATGTCATGAGGGCCGTGCTTCCTCTTAAACCTACAGAGTAATCCTTCCATGTCCCTTCCTGGTATCTGCTGGTTTGCTGGCAATCTCTTGCCTGCTGATGTGATATGCCAGTCCTCTCTCTTGCTCATGGTGTTCTTCTGCCTTCAGTGTATGTCTGTTTCTGTATCTAAGTATTTCCTTGAAGGACACTAGTTGTATAGAATTAGGATCCATCCTAATGACTTTATTTCAACTGGATTATATTTGTAAAATCCTTATTTCCAAATAAGATCACATTCTGAGGTATCTTTCTTGTCAGGTACAAGTAAACCCACAACAGGATTTAGAAAGGAATTTCTTACTTGTAGTGACAATTATCAAGCAATATAGGAAAAACCAAAATTTTAATGGAACAGACATAGGGTAAAACCCATGAACTAGATTTTTGACAAAGCAGTTAGCAGAAAGACTGGCTCTAGTCTTTGAAGAGCTAAGAAGAAAATATGGGGAAAAACTAGATATCCTAAGAGCCATATTAATGGGAAAATTACTGAATTGTATTGCATTTTTAACTGCATGTTAAATTATCAAGCTTATATTTTAAAGATATTTACATAATATTAAAAGTTGTTATTTGAAACTGGAGTTCAGAGTAAGTAGCTGCTGTGTAGACTAGATCACCAACTAGTGGTTGAAAACTCCACTGAAATTTTGGGCCCTTACCACTTACCACTTAGACTTTAACTGTGTTATTTGACCTTTCTTAGTCATTATATTATTTGCAAAATTAAAAGGTTAAAAGTTGTCATCGGTGGTAGTGATTCAAATTTTCTACTTTCTTATATAACATATATTTAACAGATTTTAGACTGCAGTTAAATTTATTTAAGATTTGTGGCTACTGATTTGAATGTTTAGCTGAATTATTATTGCAAGACAGTAATGCAAGTAAGATGGGCTAAGCCTTGGTATTTTACTGGCAAGTTATTTGGATGTGGTCTATTTTTTTTTTTCATTTTTACCATTAGTAAATTGTGTCTATTCACATTTGATTAATAAGCCTGCTATATTTGGAGAGGAAGCTTTGCAAACAATAGCTGGCAGATCCACCAAATATGAGGCTAGTATCTAGTTCTTGAAATAAATAACTGAGCAGAACTAATGCTGTCATGTCTCCTACTGACAAATGAAATAACCTCCAGTTAACCTACGTGCCCTGAAACTCATTAAGATTTTCATCCTTATTCGTTAAATTAAAGGCAACAAGTAGAATACTTACCACAGATCTCAGCTAGCAGTGACAAGCATGAAACATAAACCCCAAAATTAAAAACAAAAGTTTTTATACTAATATACTTTAGTACATTTTATTTTCATAGCACATCAGTTGTGAACATTATGGAATATAAACTCCTATAATGTAATATTCTGTTTTATATGTTATAGATATACAATA